CCCCCGCATCTGCCTGGCCCTGAGAGCAGGGTTGCTCACAGGAGGTAAAGCAGGCGTAAAAGGAAGTAAGGTGGACCTAGGGAAGTAAAACAGTGTGACTGCCAAAATGAGTCCTCTTTTCCTGTTAGCAGTTAGGGAGCAGCGTCCAAAGGAAGGCTGACCAGGGCTGCTCCTGTTTGCAGCCTGGTCTCCTGCAGGCTGCCTTTACCAATGCCTCTGTCTTGCCTGCTCCCACAGAAGAAATCGACGTGGATGTAGAGAGCACAGACTATCTCACGGGGGATCTGGACTGGAGCAGCAGCAGCGTGAGTGATTCTGATGAGCGGGGCAGCATGCAGAGCCTCGGCAGTGACGAGGGCTACGCCAGCTCCGGCATCAAGAGAATAAAGCTGCAGGACAGTCGCAAGACGTGTCTGGGGCTATAAGAGCGCGCTCGCCGGCTGCCTCCCGATGGCTGTCCTGTCCGTGTCGGATCTGATTAGGTAGTGTATGGGACCTGCCCGCAACGCCCTTGCACGTCAGCTCCAGTGTACCACCTGTACCAAATCAGCTTTGTAAACGTTTTCAAGGAAGCACGTAAGAGTGTGGGTTTCTGATTGCATCCACTAGCTTCTGTCTCTCCCTAAAAATTCGACTCTGAGAGACCGTACATTCCAATCAATTCAAAGCACCCAAGAATTCTTAGACTGAATAAGCAATTGTCACATCTCAGCAACTTTGCCCTCTCCTTTACTGTCCTCATAGAGTTAAAGTTTTCTGGCTTACTGTGTTACTTGCCTAGGAGAAATGTCCAAGTGTGTCTCGTGCTTAGGAAACTGAAGGAAACAAACTTTCTCGAAGTTGAGATCCTGGTCTCAGACTCCAAAGTAAGCTTTGAAAGCAGAATTTAAGAGCACTTAACCACGGACCTCACCCAGTGAGGAAGTCAGGAATACCTCCAGCCAGCACCCCTCCACACACACCCCGTCATCCCGCCCTGCCGCTGCCTGTGGAGGGGAACAGTATTCTCACTTTAACACGGACACCTTGGCAGCGTGGCCCTGGGGTCGCACAGCTTAGAAAAGTTCCAGCGTTGTTTGTTCTTGCAGACAAAACGGTACAATCTCTCTGTGCGAGCTGTTCTTGGGACCTTGCTGTGTGCTGCCGTCTCCAGGCGCATTCCCCCCTCCGGCTTTGTCAGTGCTACTTGTCTCTGGAACATTTTTTTTTCCTACCTCAGAGATAAATGAGATCTCATTTCCCACGTAACAAAAGTGATTATGCCTCTTTTTTTTTTTTTTTTTCCAAATAAGTGACATTTGGTCCAATTCCAATCTATTTTCCTATGTAACTTTCAGCAATAACTGAGCTTAGGCGCTAGCTGAGCTAGTGGCCATCGTCAGTGAAAGAAGTCCACATTGCCGCTCCGTGTTGTAGGGGACAGGAGGGGGTTGCACGGTGTCACTAGAGTCTCTCTCCTGATGGGCTCTTTTTGGATACACCTGGAAACTTCTTTATGGAGACTTTTGGGTTGACAGTTTAAAAGGCTGATTTTTTTTTTTCTTTTTGGCTATGATTTCTCCCTAAAGTGGTCTCCCACTTTGTAGCATTTTTATTTAAGCTAAAACAGAGCACATGTATATGTACATAAGACACATTAAATCTATAAATACTATTTATTCATTTTATATAAACTAATGTAATGGAAAATAAATTCTTATGACTTTGTGCTTTTATAGATGTTCTAGAAACTTTGTATGTAGGTATCTACAAAATCGGTTCATCCCCCCCTGAATATTTTTGCATTCACATTTTGGAGGTCTTGATGTTTTCAGCCTCTCGTGAATCTTTTTCATCGAGTTTGAACCGTTTGTAAAAACCTGTGACGCTGAAGCAGAGGGTGTGTCACAAAGCGATGGAACATTCCTAAAATCCACAGATGCGCTGCAACCCAAGGGCTCAATGGCTGACTCAGCAGGGGCGGCCGCCCTGCGCGGCCCTCCCGCCTGCGGTCACTCGGTCATCCGCACACGGCAGCCTCACAGCTCATGCAGGCTGCACTTTTCACAAAGTCAAGTTCAAACGCACTCTATGTGGGAGCTCGTTCTCTACATGAAGAGCAATCTGAACAAAGCAAGATCACTTTTGTGGGTATTTTTTTAAATGATTCTTCAATGTATTTAAAAAAACATTTTTAATTGGAAGTTGTGGACTCCTAAAAAAAATTCCAAAGTCATCTGTAATTCTGTTTTTGGTTTTGTTCTGGTTTTTTTCTTCATTTTGGCTTTGGGCGGGGGGCGGGGTGGTGACACAAAAGTGTTTCTTTTTTTTTTTTTTTGGAATTGTTGGAATCTTTTCCAATTACCAGCTGAAGATTTGCACTGAAATACAACTTGTATGCCTTTTTGCATTTTTAAAGCCTGCTTCCTGAATTTAAGCAGAATGATAGTGTTCAAAGAGCCAGCTCAGCCTGTAACATGTTTGAAGAAGATATATCTGCACTTTGAGGTCCCTTACGAATGCCATTTGCTAGACCTCACAAGCATTTTGTTTAATTGCTACATCCAAGCGCCTCACAAGTCCATAATGCTGGATGCCTTATGGCATTGGAAACTCAAAACTTGGGGAAAAGCTTGTGGGCTTGCTTTGGGGGAGGGAAGGGAACACAGTTGTACTTGTTTGTTTAGTTTAGAAAAAAGGCACCTAAGAGATGCCGTTATTTTCTGTGTTTCGATTGTTGTGCCTTTGAGTTAAATTGCATTTTTGTCTTTTGGTTGAAATATAAAATGTACTGTCCCAATATAAAACCGTAATTATTTGACCTCTGCACTGTTTGTCTGGTCCTTTTTAATTTGGTTGCATATAAATGTGGGACTTGATAAATCATGATATTTTTAATGCATTTGTGATAAACTGACACCAGGGTTAGACATTATTTTCAAAGCTCAAGGTAGACAAAGTCAGCATGCTAGCCAGGCTTCTCTTTGACCAAAACTGTAACCTTCAGGACCAGCAAACCCAGCCCAAGGCAGCTAATCCCCTCCCCCACGTGGCTGAACCGCAGCCTGGATTTGCCAAACTGTCCTCTCTCATTCACTGAAACACCAGCGTGACTGCTAGAGCTATAGTCTTTTGGGTTGTTTTGGTTTTTTAAGCAAAATGAAAAACCTTTCTATTAGGGTTGTTGGGGGGAGGGGACGGGCAAAGCTATAAACCCCAGCCTTTAAGACTTTGACAATTGTATGTGAATATAGATGTGTATAAATATAGGCACATGCATATTTTTTTGCAGAAGTTCTTTTTAAAAAACTAAAATCAAAACTGCACTCTGGTACCATCATAATGCAAATGGGCAAAGAAGAGCACGTTGTCCAGTTTAATTTCTTGCCATGAGAAAAGATCCGTGTGTGCTTTTGTTAACATCCCGCTTTCCATCCCTTGTTGGCTTTGAATGGCGGCTGAGCACCCAGGGTATTTTGATTTTGGTTTTCTTTTGCTAAGCAGAGATCTGGAATTCTTCAAGGTGCTGACAGCGACTGCTGGCCCCTTTCTCTCCTCACAGACCTACCGCTAGTTTAATGACTCAGAGAGCATCACATTTTTGAGCAGAACCTAGATTCTCCATGTCAACCCAAGGTTAAAATAATTCCAGTGTCACTTCAGAATTGGGCATTAAGTCGGCCCCAGTACTACAGTGGGCCACTTTAGTGTTTGTTGTTTTGGTTTTAAAGTGGGCATTTTTCTTTTAACCTCTACTTTCTTCAAAAGAAACAAAGGTCTTACCCCGGGTTTCCTGTAGGCCTCTCTCCCCTGTCTTTGAAGTGGCCAAGAGAAAATCCTGGGGTCTGAAAAAAAAAAAAATGGGTAAACTAGGTAGATAGGATGCTCGAAGTAACCTTTAGCAATATCTTGGGGCTTGATCATGGATTTTGTGGACTTTTTTCTCTTGCCTTCTTCCCCATCCTATAAAGAGAGAACTTATTTTTGAAAAAGCACAGATATATGCACATTACTATTTAGGTTTTTATACCATACTATACTGGCAAGAATACCACTTTCTTTGTGCTTTGTGACTATTTATTCCCCCAAATCTTGGTCTTTTCTGTTTCTTCTTTGCTGGTGTACCCCAAGTTTGTCTTCCCCCTTTACCTGCCCTGCGTGTTGAACACCAGGTAGTGAAAGGCCAAGAGGCAATTTCCTGCATGTCAACCTGTTAGTTTTCTGTCTCTTTGATGAAGCATGTTGTGGTAGCTGGCTACTCCTCACTCAAAAATCCTTCCTGGGAGAAGACAACCCAAAGACTCTTTTAGATGAGGTGGTTTTTCTCATTCTCCATGGTCAGATCTCTGTAGACTATAGGAGGTTTTGTTTTCAAAGATACTGGGTTGGGGGTGGGTGCAGTATGTGATTTATCATGATTTGGTCATCAATATTTATTACATGAATGATTTACTTATATTCTTTAGGAAGAGGAAATAATTGGCACTGCTAGATTCAGCTATTGGATGGCTGAAAATTTTGAGTCTGTCTTCTCTCAGAATCATAAAATGAGAATTAGTAGGCACCCAATTCTAAAATTTATCCAGAATTTTAATTTTAGTTTCTCCCTCTATGGGGGTGGCAGAGTAAAGGGAACAGTCTTCATTTTAGCTTTTACCTGAGAACCAAACTTGCCTTTCCCTCTATCCCTAGAATTGGTGCTCTTGGAATATAGCTGTTAACCATCAGTCGGGGGGCGGGGGGTGGGGGGGAGGGATCTTCCTAAAAGTAAACACAGCCTAAACAGGGGAGCAGCAGATGGGAGAATGGGAAATTGTTTCCAGATGTTTATTTCTTTATGTAAATATGACGCCAATGTAAATCCTGTGTCAAGACCATAGAGGATGGTGCTTTTTACTACAATTAGCACACGCATTTTTAGAAACTATTACATGTTTTAGAGAATCTTTGCTGTGTATATGTAAACTTATGTATTGTTCAACTGTTAACAAATAATAAATTATTTCATTATTAAAGAAACGTTGGTCTTTTCAGTGTTTCCTCATGTCTTCAACCAAGACACCTCCATCTTTTGAGCACGATGCAGTGCGCTGCAGTTAGATCTGCAACCCAGTGGTACAGGAAAGTGCCCTGGCTGGTCAGGCTGCATTACAGCTGGCCCTCTGCGGGGAGAAGGTGTTTGCTAGAGGAGCACCCTGTGGGAGAGGCCAGCCCGGGGGACACAGTGGCTGCAGCCTGGAGGCCGGGCCTTGTGGAGCGGCAGCGCCACGCAACTCCCTGGGAGCACAGAGGCCTCCCCAGCCAGGATGTTCTTTGCCTGCTGACACCCGTGGCTAACTCACATGTATTCGCTCATTTAACAAACACAGCCTAAGTACCTGCTGTGGGTCAGGCTTTGTCATACAGCCAAAGACACATCAAGGAACAACACACACCACCTGTGCTCCTTGCGAGTTCTCTTTCCCCTGAACCTGACTGGCACTCAGCTCCCTGTCATGGCATGTTTGGGGGTGCACTGTCATCCCCCTGGCTGTGCTCCTGGTCCCGCAGGAGAGCACGTGTCGAGGATCCGAGGGAAGGGAATGGTGTCTTTCTGCTTTTTTTTTTTTTTTCTGGTCATACTAGGGGTTGAACTCAGGGCCTTTGCACCGAGCTACCCCGGAGCCCTTTTACTTTTTTGTGGGAGTAGGGTCTCGCTAAGTCACTGAAATGCCCAGGGTGGGCTCAAACTTGCCATCCTCTTGTCTCAACCTCCCAGACTGCTGGGATTACAGGCATAAGCTGCCATAGCCGGCTTGTCTCTCTGTTTCTTAACCAGAGGCTTTTTACACTAAAACCATCAACAACTGTTTAAAGCTTTTTATTGTGTCCTCTAACTATAATGTTACACTGCCAGCAGATTCTAAGAAAAAGGAATGTTCTGGTATTTCTAGTTTGGAAAACTGGTCTAAATCATCTGCTTTCTCTTAAAAGTATGGTCAACAATGAGTTAGATATGCATTTCTAAGAGCCATCTCTGTAGACGGCTCCAAAGTGGACCGGCAAAAGCTACGTTCCAGCAAAGCAGCGGGATCCCTTGTTTACTGTGGCCGAGGAGAGGAAGCTTTGAACTGTAGATAATTATAAAGGCAGCTTTCACATAAAGATAGCCTCCACCACAAGATGACAAATCTTGTTTCCAAAGTTTCCTGAAGTTGTTTGTTCACAGTAGCCTGATGAAAAATTATCTTTGTTTTGCTGTGTGGGTCCCTGTCGTGGCCACGGTCAGCTCGCATTCACCCAGTGCTTAGCAAGGGCTGGGCGCTCCCGCCAGGGCCCCAGTGACTTCACGCTCGACCCCTCGAGCGAGTGCTAGCAGGAGCCCCCTCTACAGACGGGGAAACTGAGGGCGGGTGAGATGCTTCTCCCCAGTCCACACAGGGAGTGAGGAGTGGGTCTGGGGACCCGGTGCCGCCCTCCCTTTCCTCCGTTCTTATAAGAGCTGTGTCCAGTTGTCACTTTCCCGTTCCTGCGTCATTTCCTTTTCCAACCTTTGAACGAGGCTTCCTGTTTCCCGTGCAGGGGCTCAGGTTCCAGTTCGTGGAACAGAAAAGCTGGGCCCTCACAAGACCGTTGTGGGCAGTCGTCATTGCTCACTGCCCTCTCCTCAGTCTCCACTTCCCTCTGGGCCCGCTGTGAAGAGTAATCCCCCACCTCAGAGCCGCCAGGGGCCTGGGGGCCATAAGCCAGCTTGCTCTGAGAGGAGTCACTCTTCCACACTGTGTTGCTTTGTGGACCCTGTGACGTCACATTTGCTCAACCAATACTTACTGGACACAGGTTCCTTTTAGGCCATGGAGTCCCGGTTTTCAGGTCCCTCTCTTGGTCGTCACCGCAGCCCGGATGAAGAGCGAGGCTGGGCACGGCCGGGCAAGGGTGGGAGCAGACGCACAGGGTGTGCGCCCAGGCCTGGTCGGTGCTGCGGGAGCTGGGGCGGCCCACGGAGGCCCTGGAGGAGGGGAAGGCGCTTGGAGGGTCACCGGGCCTCCCCTTGGGCACAGGTGAGGGTGACAACCAAGCCAGGGCGCTCTGGGAATGTGTCTGCCTGCAAGGAAACCCACAGGTCTGGGACAGAAGACACCAGGAGGGACTAAGAGACAGGGGCAAGGGTAAAAGGCCCTGGACCACCGATCCTGTTGGCCACCCGGATGGCAAGGCAGGGTGACCAGACCCGGGGCAGCGGGCATGGGGAAGCCCGATCCATTAAGGCGGAGGTCCCGCTTGCTCTGGCCTCGCCCTGTTGGTGTTCCCGTGCCCCGGGAGGGTCAGATATGCTGCCTCCACGAAGCCTGGGAGTGATTCTGATCTCAGAGATGAACACGCTGGCCAAGGGGAGCAGCAGAACCTGGGGGCCACGTTCCTAGCCACCCTGGGAGCTGGCCTGTGGAGGGCGAGGGCACAGACTTCTCCCCTTACCCTGGGCGACCGGGGCCAGTGTCTTGAGCTCTAGTCCCCAACCCCTACGGAGAGGATAACAACAGCGCTCGCTGGCCAGGGCCGCGGGGGAATTACATAAGGTAAAGTGCGCAAGGAGCTTAGCTTGGTGCTTAACATTCGGGGGGCATTTAACAGAGGCCAGCGATTCCTATTCTTGTCCTAGCCAAGGAGGGAACGTCTGAGCACTGTCAGGCACCTAACTTGCATTTTCAGAATACAAAATTCCAACACTCAGAGAAGAAATAGGCCTGGAAGGGAAAGCTACTTTAGAGCAGGGACAGCAGTTTAAATATGTCATTCTGACTGTGCTATTTAGACAATGAATAGGAGGCAGGAAGTGGTTACACTGCACC